GGTGGACACACAGGGATAAACAAAGAGAAAAGGTAGGAAAAAGCTGCCTGAGTTCCAACAGCTTTCAGATTCTAAGCTCTGGTCCTTGAGAGACCTGGTTGTGTGACTTTTCTGCTTAGGCTGGCCCAAATCCGTCTCTATCATTTGCTAACCAAGTGAGAGGCAGTTTTCTTCCAAAGACACCACCACGCCACCAGCTAAGGAAACTGCGCTCTGAATTATTTTTTAGTGTGTGGGTAGACCCTGGTTGTCTGTATTTTCTGGCCTGCCATTCCTAGCGGGAAGAGGGATGAGAAGCACTGGGGAGAGCGCCACATCAACGACCGAGAACACTGCTGATAATGAGGCATACGCTTTTCTGGGAACTACTCTATGGAAGTCATTTAATCCAATCAACAATCCTCTGAGAAAGTGTCCCCATTTTGCACATAGGGGAACCCAAGCCTTGAGAGACCCAAACCTAAGCCCATAACCAGAGCTGCTAGGCCACCCCTAGCCACTCCTCACACTATGCTGCCTCTTATGGTGCCCACCTGCCATGTTACTGATACGGATTTCGGTCCACAGACAGATTCTGACACACCTGGGGGCCAAGCCTTTGCCTGCTTGGTAGTGCTCTGACAAAGTTTGTGAAACAGCCCCCAAATCCAACATCTGATAGCCACAGCACACAAGATCCCTTTGTAACAAAATATTTTATATGAATGCAAATAAAAGTGATCATTTGATCTCTTGCCCCATGACCATACAATCTTTCCAGTTGGGAGATGGATGAGGGAGACAGACAGGTACTCAGGTCATGTGATTTCTCTCTTAGTTGTTTATTTGTCCATTTGTTGGTTTCAGGTGCCGGACAGGTAAATGTTGATGGGGGGTTATGCTAACTGCACAGCTGGCACTGTTGGCAGCAACCCTGGGACAAGCTGGTAAATGCAGCCCATAGTGTCAGGAGCACTTCTAATGTACAGATTTCATGGTGAGCTCTTGTGGACCACCTCCCCAAGGGAATCTAGCAACATTTTGAAATATAAGCTAGGAGAAGGCTTAGCCTATTCTAGACTGACAAAATTTAGGATGGAGGAATGAACAGGTTTTCCATTCTGTCGTTTGCTCATTGGCAACATGAGTAATTCCAATAGTCTTCTGAGAAGGGTGAGTCATCATTAGGAGTGACTGGCTGGTGCCCTTCTCTTGGGACGAGTGGGGGCCAGAAAGCTCATGGACGGTGGTATCTCTGGGGCTGAGCCATGTCCTAGAGTGAAGTCTTCTGTCTGCCGCTGACACCTGATGCTAAGGGAAAATTAGCAAAAATGGCATCCAGGATGGTTCCAAAGAACATATGGCAAAATACAAAGAGCATGCCAAGCTGGATAGAAAAGTCGGTTAGGATGGGGAGAGGTGATCCCTGAGAAACGAAGTGGGCAGAGAAAGCATCTATTTCAGATTCCACCAGCCAGAGTTGAGGTACTTGCTGAGGCTGTATATGTAGTTCCTGCAGTCTTATATGCAGATGAAAGGGAGCAATTAAAGGAGTTGACAGGAAACCAACACCATGAGTGACACAAAGGACCCATGTGGATTCCTTTCATGGCCGACTCTATTGGGAAACTCCACCAAAGACATTCTCCTTTTCCTCCTGTTTAAGCAAATCCTATTTTCTTGCAGTGACCATGTACCTGTCCCTGGGGATGGATCATGATTGCTGTGGCCAATAACTAAGATCCCAGGTCACTCTGGTAGTGATTGGTGTAGAGATTGGTCAATGAGATGAAAGAGAATGTCTGCAGAGAAGGCTTCTGGGAATGATTTTCCTCCAATCAAACGCAAAAGCTCTGAGAAAAATGCTCCTCTTCCCTTTCCCTCCTGATTAGAATGTTGTCTTGAGAACAAGTGATGCTTCTTCTTCCTCTTGGAAGAAGGAAAGAAAGGCCAAGACAGGCACAAAGATTCCAAACCACTGCCTGATACCCCAAACCCACTGAATCAACCCTGAAACTAGGAGGTGATCAAATATTTTTAGCTTTTAAACAATGCTTAGCTTTCCTATAACTTGTAGACAGTAACATTCTAACTGAAAAAAAAAAACTGATATAATTTTCAAAGTGTTTCTCAGGGTGTGTTCTGCATCCCCAAACGTTCTGTGATCAAATGAGTTTGCAAAAATTGTGTATTACTGCCATCTCTCTGTTTTTCACTTTTGTGTATTAAAGGCTCTGAGAAGTACTGCAATTAAATAAGTTTGACTTTCTTTAACATTGCATTTCCTAAAATGAACTAGGCAGAGAATATTTTTAAGACTTTGTAATATCTTTTAGAAAAAGTACCTCACAGAGTCCATTTTGGAAAAATTAATTTAGAATTTGTGAGAAAAAGAAGGAGAGCAGAGGAGAGGGTTTTGGATGCGCCAAGCCCTACACGTGTCCACACGCATAAAACATGGATGAGCAGCTCTTTCTGCATTATCTGCTGTTTCCAGGAGGCCAAGAAAAAGGGGTACATTGTATAGCCATCCACTTGTCTCCCTGAAATCTGACAACATAACAGAATGTGAGGGAATATAAACTTGGCAACATGGTCGTGGTCCAATCATCCTGGAGAGCAAATCTGGAAATGCAGTCTGCTGTATTTAAAACATGTTTTAAGAAGTGTGGCTGGCAGGCGGACACTCTTCAACGATGTTGGTAAGTAAACAGCTATCTATTTTTCTCCCACTGTCTCTTTTTCTAAGAAAAAAAAAATAGTGCATTTCATTGAAATAGCCAGGTATTTCAGATGAGAACCGGGTTTCTTTGGGAACCCCCAAAAACTATGTCTCCCTAAAAAAAAAAAAAAAGCCATCACCTTCATCAAGGAAGTTTTCTTTTCAGGTAGTAGGAGGGCAGAGAATAAACACAAGACAGGAATAAAAGGAGGGGAGGGACCGGGTAGGGAGGAAAAGAAAGAGAAAGAAAACAGAAAAGGAGAAGATGGTGAAAATATCCATAGGTGAGACACAGCTGTCAAAGATGAGCCAGAGTCTAATAATGTTAGGTGTCTCCCAGGAGGGAACTGGATGCCTAAGATTCAAATAGGAAGAGGAATCTTCACTGCATTCCCTTGGGCATCATTTAAATTTCGAACCACATAAATGTGTATTCCATCGATTGAAATGTATCTATCGATTCAAAACATAAATTACTTTAAAATGTAAAAACAGGCTACAACAGCAACAACAAAGCTACAGTCCATGATATTAGGGATGGTCTTATACAGACTATTGAAGCCCCACGTTAAACTATATGACCCATCGTATCAAATCACGTTAAACTATATGACCCATCGTATCAAATCACAGCTTGAATTTACTTAACAGAGTGGGGGGAGTCCATTCTCGTTCCTAAACCACACCCCTGTTGACAATGTCCCCATCAGTGTGAAATAATAAACCCCTCAGACTGCACACAAGCACTTCATTACCTCCCGTGTCCTTAATTTGCCAGGCAAGTCTCATTTGCCGAAGAGATTTCAATTTTATCTTAATTCTGAGGAATGTATCAGGGCCTTCTGGAGACAAGCAGCACACATTCCTCTTTACCTAGCTCTGACCTAGTTCTGGCCACATCGTCCCCATCCAAACAGGAAGAGAAATCTGAAGTTGCAATACATTATTTACTAGGATGAACCAGTAATTCAGACCGAGGGAAAAGCAATAAGAGACCTCAGGAAACCTTAAAACATCTTGAAGGCTATTTCATGAAGGAGTCACAACTAATGCAGGCACAGGTACTTAGGAGTAAAGTGGGGAGAGATAAGAGAGGGCCGTGCTGGGATACCACATACAGTACATATGCATAAAAGAAGAAGGAAGCCTCAACCCACTAGTTCTCGGTTCCGCACAACTAGATTTTGTTGTTTGTTTTACATAAGGATTTAACACACCTGATGTCAAAAGCCATTGGAAAATGGAAATAATCTGCAAATCACTGTCATCTCGAGACTGGCATGAAGTAAAGGCTCTGAAAAGTTTGCATAAATGATATTAGAAACGTTTAATAAACTATGCGGATGTATTAAATCTCTTTGAGCACAAGGGTCCCTCAACCCCAAACCTGACTGTTACGATTTTAAAAGTAGCAGAATCCTTTAGTTTTTTATAACAACATGGAGACACGACTATAAGGCACCCTGTCTGGTAAAAATTGCCAATTTCCATCAGTGACATTAAAGGCAGGCCAGTTATGACTTCACATTTATCCATCCAAAACATGATGCTTTTTAAAAAAAATACAAATGGCGGCGGCGGCAGGGAGGCAATCCAGATATTTCTTAAAATACCATATCCATGACAAGAAGGATCTCAACCAACCGTGACACCTTCACAGCAGAATGAAGCCACCAAGCTGCAGTTATAAGCAAACGGTTCTCTCCTCATCTAGGCAACACTGTTTACATCTAATGTACTTCAGCACTGAGAGAGTTTTGTTTTTAGGAAGGTAAATAACACGTGAGGTTTAAAATTCTGTCTCCTTCCCCTAGATACACAAACGCCACTAAAACTAAGAGGTCTGTGAAGGACTCAAATTTTCCTAGAAAATGCCCTTGACTTACTAGTGGATCACCCAACCCAGTTAACAGCAAGAGAGCATTTGAGCCACTCAGCAAAGAGACTGGTACTCACATTAAAAAAGCAGCAAGGCATCCTTCTCACCTTTGTTATTACTTAGACCTCGTGTCATACATAAAAAGAGTACAATGATGTCAAACAAATTCCAGAAGAGAAGTATTTATTGCTGAATCTAAATCAAAAAATCCATATCTACTATAATGGCACTTCAAAAGAAAATATACTGTATTTACCAGCTCAATCAATACTAAATTAGCTGGGATAAATATTTTCAACTCAACCAGTCTTAAGATGAAGCCCGCTATTTAGAACCCTGCGTCTGGGGAGAGACAGGGAAATTTTTGCTTATCACACAGAAATGAGAACCAGGAAGTATTTTACAAGCAGACACACCTACCCTTAGCTGCTCTCTTTCACAATTCATCTGTTGTCTTGAAACCTACAAAGAAAAGAAAAAGAGGCGGGGGAAGTTAGAAGGTTCTGCATGAAAACAGCATGAAAGAAAATGGAAAATTACTTCTAATCACTTGGCTCAAAGCAGACCCAGAATTAATTAATTATGTATTTAATGTTTTCTTTAGGTCCAAATAGCCTCCGCTTCTCTTGGAGTTTCAACTGTGTGATCTAGAAACACAACTAAGATGAGCCAGAGTCTGGAAGGTGGGTGAGGAGAGGGATGCAGTAGAGGGTGTGGGAGGTAAAAGCTGCCCAGGGGGAAGGCTTCCCTCTTGCCCTGTCTAACAGGTGCAGGCATTCTTCCCAGAAGGCCCACTCAAAATAGTTAAGAATAAGCACTGGACATTACACAGCATCTTCGCCGATGCTAGCGTCCAACAGTATCACCTACACGCCTTGGCAAATGCGTTGCATTGTATGGTCCAGTTCTAATCAGATAGCAGTATGTCTCCATAGGACTGTGTTGGGGAGAACTCTCAGGTCAGTGCTTATATCAGAGAAAGAAACTCTGATCAAGTTGTGATATCTCCCACAAGCTCAAAAAGAAAAATAGATTAGTGATACTTATGCCATGCATTGATTATCCTTGCCCTATCAAAATGTGCTTCTTAAAAATCAAGGATGAGTCTTTAGAATGACCATATAATTTACTGTCCGAACAGGAAAAAAAAATACGTGAGTTAAAGGAGTGGGTGGGATAGTAGGAATGATTACACCGGGCACAGAAGATGCAAAGTGGGAGTGACAAGGCAAACTGGGACCTGTGGTCACTCTACCTCCACGAGGACTAGCTGACTCCTCCTTCAACTCAAACAGCTAAGCCAAAATGAAATTTAGGTCTGCATTCACAACTTATTCTGTGTATTTCTAGCATTTTTTCCACCAATGAGGTAACCCCTGACTCCTAGCACCTGACAATATATTGCGAGTTTTTGAAACTTACACTAAAGGAGAAGGCTGAGGAACTGACTTTTGATGTATATTTTATGTATTTTATACTGAAGGTTTCTTTTTTACTTTCTCTAAAACAAAAATAGGTATCATTATTTACGATACAACGGAGCCCCAAATCTATAAATCAGTGCTTTGCTGTGCCCTTTAATCCAGAAATATCACCTCTAAGAATAGCTCTTAAGAAAAGAAACGAGTTAAACACAAATGTTTATTTATGTGTCAATTAACTGCAGCATTATTTATTTAAAAACTATAAATATTACAATGTATAATAATAGAAAAATTAGAAGTAAATTATAGTACATTGATTGGATGGCAAAATGTGCAGCATTCAGAACCACTGTCTTGAAAAACAGAAATGGGAAATGCTTAAAAGGCACTATTTAGTCTCTAATAAAAGTAACTACAAAAGTGCACAAATGTTATGATTCTGATTTTGTGTTAAAAATACAGTGAAATTGGGGCTTCCCTGGTGGCGCAGTGGTTGAGAATCTGCCTGCTAATGCAGGAGACATGGGTTCGCGCCCTGGTCTGGGAAGATCCCACATGCCATGGAGCAACTAGGCCCGTGAGCCACAACTACTGAGCCTGCGCGTCTGGAGCCTGTGCTCCGCAACAAGAGAGGCCGCGATAGTGAGAGGCCCACGCATCACGATGAAGAGTGGCCCCCGCTTGCCACAACTAGAGAAAGCCCTCGCACAGAAACGAAGACCCAGCACAGCCCAAAATAAATAAATAAATTTTAAAAAATATATACAGTGAAATTGATCATTAAAGAAAAGGAAGAAAGATAAAAGAAAAGAAAGAGGAAAGGACTGGGAGGAGATATTCCAAAATATTAAAAAGGAAATGGGTACAATTCTATATATATACAAAACACACACACACACACACACACACACACACACACACTTGGAAGTGAGTTATACACTTCAAATAGGTGGCTTTATGGTATGTGAAGTGTATATGGTACGTAGAGTTTATATCTCCATAAACTGTTAAAAAAATAAAGTGGGGATGGGCTTCCGGGAAGATGGCGGAAGAAGCGGAGATCACCTTCCTCCCCACAGATACACCAGAAATACATCTACACGTGGAACAACTCCTACAGAACACCTACTGAACGCTGGCAGAAGACCTCAGACCTCCCAAAAGGCAAGAAACCCCCCACGTACCTGGTTAGGGCAAAAGAAAAAAGAATAAACAGAGACAAACGGATACGGACGGGACCTGCACCAGTGGGAGGCAGCTGTGAAGGAGGAAAAGTTTCCACACACTAGGAAGCCCCTTCGCGGGCGGAGACTGCGGGTGGCGGAGGTGGGGAGCTTCGGAGCCACAGAGGAGAGCGCGGCAACAGGGGTGTGGAGGGCAAAGCGGAGAGATTCCCGCACAGAGGATCAGGGCCGACCGGCACTCACCAGGCCGAGAGGCTTGCCTGCTCACACGCCAGGGCGGGCGGGGCTGGGAGCTGAGGCTCGGGCTTCTGTCGGAGCGCAGGGAGAGGGCTGGGGTTGGCGGCATGAACACAGCCCGCAGGGGGTTGGTGAGCCACGGCTGGCCGGGAAGGAGTCCGGGAAAAGGTCTAGAGCTGCTGAAGAGGCAAGAGACTTTTTCTTCCCTCTTTGTTTCCTGGTGCGCGAGGAGAGGGGATTAAGAGCGCTGCTTAAAAGGAGCTCCAGAGACGGGCGTGAGCCGCGGCTAAAAGCGCGGGCCCCAGAGACGGGCATGAAATGCTAAGGCTGCTGCTGCCGCCACCAAGAAGCCTGTGTGCGAGCACAGTTCACTATCCACACCCCCCTTCCGAGGAGCCTGTGCAGCCCGCCACTGCCGGGGTCCCGGGATCCAGGGACAAGTACCCCGGGAGAACGCACGGCGCGCCTCAGGCTGCTGCAACGTAACGCGGCGCGCCTCAGGCTGGTGCAACGTCACGCCGGCCTTTGCCGCCGCAGGCCCGCCCCACACTGCGTGCCCCTCCCTCCCCGCAGCCTGAGTGAGCCAGAGCCCCCGAATCAGCGGCTCCTTTAACCCCGTCCTGTCTGAGCGAAGAACAGACGCCCTCCGGCGACCTACACGCGCAGGCGGGGCCAAATCCAAAGCTGAGCCCCTGGTAGCTGTGAGAGCAAAGAGAAAGGGAAATCTCTCCCAGCAGCCTCGGAAGAAGCCGATTAAAGCTCCACAATCAACTGGATGTACCCTGCATCTGTGGAATACCTGAATATACAACGAATCATCCCAAATTGAGGAGGTGGACTTTGAGAGCAAGATTTATGATTTTTTCCCCTTTTCCTCTTTTTGTGAGTGTGTATGTGTATGCTTCTGTGTGAGATTTTGTCTGTATAGATTTGCTTCCACCATTTGTCCTAGGGGTCTATCCGTCCGTTTTTTTTTGTTTGTTTTTAAAATTTTTTTTCTTTTCTTTTAATAATTAGTTTTTATTTTAATAACTTTATTATATTTTATATTACTTTATTTTATTGTATTTTATCTTCTTTCTTTTTTCCTTCCTTCCCTCCTTCCTTCCTTCCTCCCTCCCTCCCTCCTTTCTTTCTTTCTACTTCTACTAATTCTTTCTTTCTACTTTTTCTCCCTTTTATTCTGAGCCGTGTGGATGAAAGGCTCTTGGTGCTGCAGCCAGGAGTCAGTGCTGTGCCTCTGAGGTGGGAGAGCCAACTTCAGGACACTGGTCCACAAGAGACCTCCCAGCTCCACATAATATCAAATGGCGAAAATCTTCCAGAGATCTCCATCTCAACACCAGCACCCAGCTTCACTCAACGACCAGCAAGCTACAGTGCTGGACATCCTATGCCAAACAACTAGCAAGACAGGAACACAACCCCACCCATTAGCAGAGAGGCTGCCTAAAATCATAATAAGTCCACAGACACCCCAAAACACACCACCAGACGTGGACCTGCCCACTAGAAAGACAAGATCCAGCCTCATCCACCAGAACACAGGCACTAGTCCTCTCCACCAGGAAGCCTACACGACCCACTGAACCAACCTTAGCCACAGGGGACAGACACCAAAAACAATGGGAACTATGAACCTGCAGCCTGCAAAAAGGAGACCCCAAACACAGTAAGATAAGCAAAATGAGAAGACAGAAAAACACACAGCAGATGAAGGAGCAAGATTAAAACCCACCAGACCTAACAAATGAAGAGGAAATCGGCAGTCTACCTGAAAAAGAATTCAGAATAATGATAGTAATGATGCAAAATCTTGGAAATAGAATGGACAAAATGCAAGAAACATTTAACCAGGACCTAGAAGAACTAAAGAGCAAACAAACAATGATGAACAGCACAATAAATGAAATTAAAAATTGTCTAGAAGGGATCAATAGCAGAATAACTGAGGCAGAAGAACGGATAAGTGACCTGGAAGATAAAATAGTGGAAATAACTACTGCAGAGCAGAATAAAGAAAAAATAATGAAAAGAACTGAGGACAGTCTCAGAGACCTCTGGGACAACATTAAATGCACCAACATTCGAATTATAGGGGTTCCAGAAGAAGAGAAAAAGAAAGGGACTGAGAAAATATTTTAAGAGGTTATAGTTGAAAACTTCCCTAATATGGGAAAGGAAATAGTTAATCAAGTCCAGGAAGCACAGAGAGTCCCATACAGGATAAATCCAAGGAGAAATACTCCAAGACACATATTAATCAAACTGTCAAAAATTAAATACAAAGAAAACATATTAAAAGCAGCAAGGGAAAAACAACAAATAACACACAAGGGAATCACCATAACGTTAACAGCTGATCTTTCAGCAGAAACTCTGCAAGCCAGAAGGGACTGGCAGGACATATTTAAAGTGATGAAGGAGAAAAACCTGCAACCAAGATTACCCAGCAAGGATCTCATTCAGATTTGATGGAGAAATTAAAACCTTTACAGACAAGCAAAAGCTGAGAGAGTTCAGCACCACCAAACCAGCTTTACAACAACTGCTAAAGGAACTTCTCTAGGCAAGAAACACAAGAGAAGGAAAAGACCTACAATAACGAACCCAAAAC